AACTTGCTAAACCATGTCAAACCCGCCAACTCACCTACTCCCTCGAGTATCATACGGTCTCATATTCTTGATGAAGTGAACTTTCTTGGAAACCTTTGGCCCCGGAGACCCAGAAAGGTTACGTGCCCTGCAACAAGAATGTAACAAAATGTAGATACATACATGTGACTTTAATATAAGCTTAGAGACAAATCCTGATGTTTTGGCCCTTGACTATAAACTACAGCTTAAAAGGTCGCTCGTCCAGCATCAGTCTATCAGCAGACCTTACGTAAAGAGATGAGGGGAACAGAAAATGAGAGAAACGAAAGGCAAACAACAAAGACGACACAGGAAATGATGTGTATATGTACTGCAGTGAGATCATGGGGCTCGGTTTACATAAGCAACATCACCTACCCGCAGATACAGCTTGTTGTGACTGGTTGATGGCCTTTATGCTATACTTCTCTGACTGACTCAGCAGTCTCCTCTGAGTTACTTATCAACTCTGACAGCAGTGAAATCTTATCACCATAAAAACCTTCCATCTGTCATATGGGTCTTCCCTAATCTCAGACTCTGTTATCACAGTTACAGAGGACTTTACTTTTAAAGTCAAATACAAAGACAAGACAGACAACCCCCTCATTACATAGAATATAACCGTCAAACCTTTGTTACTCTCGTAATGATTAATTAACTTTTTTCAATACACTTTATATCCGAAACATCTTTGTTTAGGTCTTTTAATTTTGCATTTAATTTAGTCATATAAGCCAATTCTTTTAATGAATCACAAATATATGGAACAATGAGGCATAACCTGAGTATTCAGATCCTCAAAATAATGTCTTATGACCACTTCCTTTTTAATGAATCATAAAAAATAAAAAAAACAAATGACTCTTATAAGTCGGTTTCTATTGTGAATCAAAAAACATACACTGCAACTGAAATAGTCTTATTTTGGGATGAATAAATTTAATGAGTCAGTTCTTTTTAGTGAGTCAAAAATATGCAAAGCAGAATAGTCTGATAACCGAACAAATTACTAATTCTGATTCGCTTTAATGAGTCAGTCAATACACTTATCAATCAGTTAAAAATGAATAACGGACTCACCCTCAAAGCCAACCTGGGTGTATATGACTTTCTTCTTTCAGCCAAACACAATTTATGTTATATTAACACATATCCTGGCTCTTCCAAGCTTTATAATGGGAGTGAATACTAGGCTAACTGAGATTTTGAAACCCAAAAAAGTGCATCCATCCACCATAAAAGTAATCTATGCGGCCCCAAAGGTTAATAAAGGCCTTCTAAAGCGAAGCTTTTTTTGTAAGACAAATATCCATATAACTTTATAAACCACTCTCAGAAAAAAAAGGTACAAAAGCTTTTAGGTGCTAATACATGTACCAATCGCAGAAATATTTCCTGTCAAACTCTTGCCTAGAAAACAAGACATCAAAGATGAAAATGAAAGTTACACAATAAGGCGGAAGTCAGTCAATCAAGGGAATATATTCGTTTTTGTTTGTTTTTTTCTCGTACTGTAATGTGCACTGTTTATAATACTGCTTTCAAAAGTCACAAACGAATGTAAACACTGGTAAACAACAGGCCAGATGCAGTTGTGACTATCCAGAAGCGTGCTAAGATTTGGAAATAAACATAGCTTTCGTAAACAAATATATATCTATTCAGAATTCTTTAGGACAGCTTTAGGACATTTACTCCAAATTTGTTTGAATGGTGTAATTTATGCATACAAACCCAGCTAGAGAAAAAAACGTCAATAACGCGTGACATTGTGTTTGCAAAACTGCGTGCAAAAACAAAGCTCACCTTTGACGGGGATCAGGTACAGAGTTGGAGCCCGGTAATTGGCTGGGTGGTTTACTTGATCCTAAAACCGGATTTAGCGGTCCAGAGGTCGGTGAAAGAGGGGGTGCCTGGACTGACAAAGGATCTGCTCGTCCATCCTCAGTAAAAACGTCGCTGCTGCCTTGGTTTAATGCTGGAGGTGGGCTCAGAGGAGCAGGGTATGTGTTAGTCCTCGGTATAGGGGTCGCAGTTCCTCCGCTGATGGAGGATGTCACTTGTGTGAAGGTTCCGTAGCTGCTGGATGTCGACAGAGGGGGACCCGTCACCGCCGACGACACGCCGACATCTAACCGGCTCTCGGCTTCCCTGGGGCCAACGATGCCATTGCTTAGGTTGTAAACCGGTCGCCCGTCCAAAGATATATTGGTAAGAAACAAGAGTGCTGCTTGTCTGCGACGAGAATCCCGGCTTTTTCGCAGGTGTTCTTTGTGTGGTTTGGCTGAATTAGTCCTCGGACAGACGCGAGGACCGCAGGCAGCGGCCGCCATTCTACTGTGAGTAATAGGGATGGGCGGATCGATCCTGAAGTATCGATACTTCGATACTGACATGGTATCGAAAAGGATCGATCCTCACATAAAAATATCGATCCAAATGTGTATTTTTTTTAACCAGTAATTTTTTAATAATTTAGCACGCAATTCAGTGCGAAAAATAAGCTTCTAAGTGGAAAATAAGCGAATGTTAGCGGGTTGTGTAGGATAGAACCTTTTCTACTAGTCATCTCTATACAAGACGAAACCAACCAATCACAGAGAGCGTTCGATGCTGGTGCTTTGCTGAGCTCACAGGCCCAGTGCGTTTGGGAAACGAAGCCTTGCTTAGACGACAGAGAAGCAATCGGGAGTTATTTCGCAATAAACAAACCAAAACTGTACATAACATTTTAAAATGTTGACGTCAGTAATATCTTTTTTATGAAATTATTATTTTTATTCAACAAGCATCGATGCATTCAATTAATCAAAAGTGAAAGTCAAGGGTTTTACACTGTTAAAAAATCTACTTCATATAAATGATGTTCTTTCAACTTTGTTCATCAAATAATTCTGCATAAAATGTATCATGGTTTCCAACAAAATATTAAACTGTTTTCAACATTGATAAAATAAGAAATGTTTCCTGAGTAGCAAATCAGCATATTAAAATGAATTATTATCATGACTGGAGTAATGATGCCGAAAATTCTGCTTTGATCACATGAATAAATTACAGTTTAGTATGGCATAGAAAACAGATAGCCTATGTTAAATTGTTAAATTGTAATATTACAGTTTACAATATTACTAAGAGAAATAAAAATCTTAAAGACCCCAAACTTTTGAACAGTAGACTAGTGCTAGTACTATAATTAGGGTAGTTTTGTAAAAGTCACTGACTAATTAAAGGGTAGTTGAGAGCACAAATCACAAAATAGCTATTTAGGCCTAGTAGTCTTGAAAACATGTTCAGATTTAACAAGTTCAAATGCATGCTTTTAAAATGAAAAAGTATCGGTATCGGTATCGATATCGGCGATACTGGCCCTCTATTTACTTGGTATCGGATCGATACAGAAATTTGCAGTATCGCCCATCACTAGTGAGTAAGCTAAAAGCAGACAGAGCTATTAGAGCGGCTGAGGGATTGGCCACGCCCCCTGATACCTTATTGGTTCAAATTCCTGACACTTGCATATAAATGAGACGTTGTCTTAGCGGATTGGACGAGAAGTCTTAGTTCATAAATTTGTACAATAGCTTGACTTTAAATGTACAGTAAGGGCGCTAGCCCTTTCTCCAAATGTACAGGACACAGACATCTGTTGCTTTCTTTGATACATTGTATATTTCTATTGAGAGTGACACGTTTAATCATTTTATACATTTGTATATCATATAATTAAAAGTTTATCTCTAAAAATGAGCATTAAGTTGTATTCACCCTGTATCCACCCTATATTTTATTACTAGGGAATATGAATGTCCATTTATGCAATTTCTAGTTGTATTCACACTGTGATGTTTGACTAACACGGCTTATACTTCTGCTCCACATGATGCTGTAAAAATCAATGAACATGCAGGTTAGCATAAGCCTGTGCTCGCACAGCTCATCACAATGGGTCTTATATGTACAATTATTATGTTATGTAAATATGCAACAGCTATTGGGATGATAAAAGAGGATAAAGAAAAGGAGGGGGGAAGTAATTTCTTGATTCTTCAGTTTGATAAAAAAAAAAAAAAATTGCCAAAATGAGAAGTTCTTGATAGCCTTGCAATAATAGGCTATTACTATTAATAAAGAATTACATTCATGTTATTTAAATACATATCCAAATGCATAAAAGGCAATGGTTTGAGAATACAAATATGGCTGAAAGCATTACAGTTGCAATAAATACAATCCCACATTATGTCATGTAATAAGGCTTGAGCCAATATTTTGAATGTTTTGAATGACATCTCTAGATTATGTCATTGCTTGGAGATAATGTATTGCATAATGTCATGGAATTTTAACTTGTTGTAGTTAACAGTAAAAACTATCTATGTGATGTGAATGTTTTGATTTTCCACATTGCTATTCAGTTGGTTTCCACTTGAGTGCAGTATAAATCAAATCAAAATTATTGGCTGAGTGACTAGTAGTGGCTTTACTTCTTTTTAGTCTTGAAAAATACAAAAAAATTGTGTGATGCTACAATATCTTAGTTTTCATTTAAAGAGTTAAAACTTTCGTTCATCTTCAGAACACAAATTAAGATATTTTTGATGAAATCTGAGAGCTGTCTCACTCCTCCATAGGTAATTGTATTCTTCTGACCCAGAAAAGTTATTAAAGACATTGTTAAATAGTCCAAGTGACTACAGTGGCTCAAGTCGCTTGATAATCTTAAGGTTGATACAGTGTAGTCGCTTGGACTATTTTAACAATGTCTTATTCTTTTCTGGGCCGGCCTATGGAGGAGTGAGACAGCTCCCAGATTTCATCAAAAACATCTTAATTTGTGTTCCGAAGACGAACTAAAGTCTTACAGGGTTGGAACAACATGAGGGTGAGTAATTACTGACATAATTTGTATTTTTGGGTGAACTAACCCTTTATCTTAAAATGACAAGCAAAACAAAAGACACTCTTTCAGTTGATGCTTTGGTCAGGTCAGTAAACACAATTTTGCTTGCTTTATTGTCCAAATAAAACACATGGCTGAAAATCGACAACCTTTTTTACAGTCGACAGCAACAGTCTTTCAGGTGCAGTGTAAGGCTTGACGTCTTTCAGCGTGTCTACGGTAAAATCCAGCATTAACCAGAGTGAACGAGTATGATCCACATTGATAAAGGACAGCATACAGAGGCTGTGCTGAGGTGTTCCAGCTAGCACCAAAATGGTAACACGAATGGACATAGTGTACGTAATGGTAATGGCAAGAATTCAAATAGTTACAATGGACTTACTGTAGCAATAACGATTTGATTTCAGTGTAAACGGCACAAACACATGGATTAATCATCTTCTCTCTATTCAAAAGCCCAGAGGTCAATCAATGCAAAAAAATAAAAAAATGTTTTGTACAGATTCACTGATCTATGTATTGATGACCAAAGGTAAGAAACAACCACAGAAAAGCTAACAACTTAATTTAAATGTTAAATAAAATGAGATAAAGAGACGGATACTGCATGGATTTGTTCATAGGCATACAACATTTTTAAATTCACTATTCAAACATTTATGAATTTTATTGCACCAAATTATGTAAATGACATGGAATGGCATAATCATAACACTGATAATTTTCATTAATCCATAAAAAGAAAAAATTTGAAACATAATATGCTTTTCTTCATCTGTCATAGGTACTTTACAATTTGAAATCTTTGTTAGCTTACATGTGTTTGAAATACTGCGGTATGTTCATATTACAGTCATATAAACCAGCTTAATCAGGGTTCTTTGTCCTTGAAATTAACATTCATTCAATCCTTTTTAAAGGTGCACTCAGCCATTTTTCAGGATCAGACCAAGTATTTCCATCATGACAGATATGTCCTTTGAGAACATAAAAAAATCAGTGATATATAATTTGTCACTTGAGAAGTAAGCAGAAATGTCCACTGAAAAGAGTGAAAAAACAGTCTTTGTTGCAAGCAAAGTATGATCCCTGTTCTTGAAGGCAACAATTTTGTGCTTAATAAAAATCCTCATGATGTCATCAGAAGCTCAACCCATCCATCTTTCTTTAAAAACTCAAAATATTTCCATAAATCCACCAATGTTTAAAACATTAGCTGCTGAAGAAGGGTGAAATGCACTTTTATATAGCCAAACCTAAGAAAGTCGATTAAGGCCTTTTATGAGAAAACTCACTAGTTGTACTTGTACCTATTACAACCTCAATAGCCAACAAACTGTGACCAAGTGGATTCAGTAATTGTGGTTTTCAGCAGCTGCCACAAAATATATAAAAAAAAAAAAAAACACCCAGAATGGTTTGAATCTGTGTTTAGGATGTGTTTAAGCACCATTGCTGTTAATGTACCACACTGATATTTTGTTTTATTCGGGATACATTTATCGTGGCCTCACTGCTTTTTCATAAACTGACCCCAGCCAAGCCTCCTAACCCAATAACCTGTGGTAATGTCTAATATCACCACAGGGTGGCTCTTTTCTAGAAGCTAGTGCATAATGTTCCTCCTCAGACGACGAGTCAATCTGACAAAATCCACCAAATAAAGCTGGAGAGAACGGACTTTTTTTTTGCACGCTAATACATTACACTTTTTAGAAGGTGAGAACGTTTCAAACTGTCGTCTCGTATTCCATCACTTCCTTGGGTGTGCCGAGACATCGGTACTGGATCCTCGGTGTGACCGGAGCAGCACCTTCCAGAACCAAAATGGTTTTTCGTAGCCTGCGGTCAATGAAGTGGGCGTCCCAGGCTGGGTACTGCTTTCTGGGAAGGTCGATACGAACTACCGGCCCCTCTGTCCTTGGGGTGAGGCGAGGCGCGGCGTTTCGTGAGGCCTTAAGGGTCCGCATCTTAAACACATCGCCAATGTCTTCTCTCTGTACTGACTCTCCTCCTTTAGTCCTCTGCAGAGTCCTCGGCGGGCTGCTCACCGCGTCCAGAGGAGGAACGGAGGTGGGCGACGAGATACAAGGATCTGAAACAGCCCCCACCTGGACGCCACAACATCCGAAATAGGCTCCAGACACAGGGCCGTCAGGGTGCAACAGGCAGTAGTAGACAAACATAAAAAATGTGCCCAGAGCGTAGCTACAGGCCACCACACACACCACCACCACAGCGTAAAAGTCCGAAGTGCGCGGGCTGCGGTATATGTACCACACGGCAGTGAGGGCCACGTTTTCGGCCAGCATTATGAGGCTGTAGAGCAGAAGCCGGCACCGAGTTGGGCCTTCACGGACACTGAACCAGCAGAATATGTACACGATGCCCACCATCATGTTGTAGATGATTTCCTCCCACTTGGACATGCAGAAGTCCGTCTCACCTTGGATGATCCAGAAGGTCATGGCGCACCAGTGGGCCACGATGAAAATGCCGAAGTAGAGCTGGAAGATGGAAACGAAGAGGGCGAAGGCCATGGCGCGGGCTCCCACTGTGAACAGGTGCCACAGCATGTGCGCCACCACTGATTTATATGACATGGGAAGCTTGTCATCACGAGAGTCCCGTAAGGCCTTCTGATAAGACGCCATCATCCAGCCCAGAGACACCAGAGAGGCTGACGCAGACAGACCTGGTTCAAATGAAGCACAACGAGAGAGAAAATGGGAAGAAATTAGTCAATTAATGAGGTACGTTAATTAAAATCAATTACGCTGCCAGAAAAAATTACGAATTGGATTGTTGGATAGGTAAATGGTGTTTGCAGTTTATTAGGGAGGATGCCTTAAAGGAGTAGTTCACTTTTAAAAAAAAAACTTTTGCTGAAAATTTACTCACCCCCATGTCATCTAAGATGTCCATGTCATTCTTACCTCAGTCGAAAAGAAATTAAGGTTTTTGATGAAGACATTTCAGGATTTTTCTCTGTATAATTCACTTTACTGGTAACCAAATGGTTCAAGGTCCAAAAGACAGTTTCAGCGCAAACTGTTCAAAGGGCTTTAAACGATTCCAGACGGTGAATAAGGGTCTTATCAAGCGAAATGATCGCTCAGTTAATAAATAAATTACAAAGTTTAACCCTTGTGCTGCATTAGATTTTTAACACCGTTGAGTGCATTAAGGACCAAAAATGGCCACATATTAAACATTGCCTAAAATATTATATATTATTATTATTTTCCACTTTTACCAAGTTAAATCTTTTAACCAGCATCAGTCCTCATCATAACTACCAAAAATGTATTCAATTTCAGGATTTTAACCCTTTAATTACCAGTTTTGTTTGCAAAACCATCGATTTGTATAAGAGGAAAAAACACAAAAATTCTATTATTTTCAATAAACTAAATGCAAAGAGAAAACTTTAGATTTGGATTATCACAGTCCTACTTTGCAAAAAATCCCACTTAGCGCGTTAGAGACCAAAATTGGCCACCTATTAAACATTGCCTATTGCCTAAAATAAGGTGCATTTCCACCCATAGGGAATAAATATGTAGTGACGTCATCTGGTGGAATACACTATATAATGCAAATATAATGCTTTTGCTTCAAAATGAAAGGATGTTTGTGCAAAAATCATGTTTCATGTATTACTGACAGCCTCAGATTTAAACAACGTTTTAATGGGTTTCAATGGGCCATTTTTGGTCTTTATGGTGCCGAGTGTTACTATTTGATCTACACAGTGTGTGTTATACATATTTTGCAAAATGGGATCACATTTTTTACATGTATCCAAAAAGTCACAATTTTGCCAAATTTCATACCATTTGCATTAAAACAGCCAAAATGGTCAAAGAAATTAAACTGCAAAAGACCAAAAATGTCCCTAATGCAGCATAAGGGTTAAGTTTTATAAGCTCAAATGTTCACCTTGCTCTGTTCTGTGAAGCGTGTTTGTGACTCTCCTGTTCAAACTCGTTCATCAAAATGAACAAATCTTTTCCTGAGTCATTTCGTTCACTTTCTTCGTTGAATGAACCAAATGACACGAAAAAAGATTACTTAATTTTGATAAACGAGTTTGAACAGGAGAGTCACAAACGCGCATCACAGAACAGAGCAAGGCGAGCATTTGAGCTTATAAAACGTAAACTTTTTTTTTTTAAATGAGCGATCGTTTCACTTGATAAGACCCTTATTCATCGTCTGTAGTCGTTTGAACTGTCTTTTGGACCTTGAAACGTTTGGTTCCCATTGAAGTCCATTATATGGAGTCCTTAATTTCTTTTCGACTGAAGAAAGAAAGACATGGACATCTTGGATGACATGGGGGTGAGTAAATTATCAGCAAAGTTTTTTTTTTTAAAGTGAACTACACCTTTAAAGGATAGCAAATTATTTAAATGTCAAAAATTGTCGCTTCATTTCTCTTTTAATTTATCCTAAGGAATTTTATAAGATGTGTCAGTGACAAAGCCGATACTTGAGCAGTAAATTCAAATTAATTTCAAATCAAAACCTACACCGATGTATAAAATGAGTTTGTATATAAGGAATGACAGTCCACCCCACCATTATTCTCAGGAAAAAATGAAATTCTGTTGAGCGCTGTACGCTCTGTAGAAGCTCTCATGAATATTTAATCAGGTTCCTGTCTGGCCATTCATCAGCTCAGCCGTTTAGTCAGGAGCAGTCAAAACGGAAAATCTCACCTAATCAGCAAAAACATAATCATTAGCTAGTTCTCCAGCCGTCTCGCACTGCACAGAATATGATTATGAGCGATTATGACAGACCCAGCAAAGCACCTAAATCATAATATCAGTCTGGAAAAGTGCAGGTCAGGACAGACCAAGATGAAATGCCTGTATTCTCTACACCGCTGGTCATTCCTCAGAACTGGATATGCTCACATATTGGCTCTCCTGTCCTCTGGGTCATTTTTATTCTTCAGCAGCCTGAATAAATGTAATATGAGCAGGGCTGCCACATTTTAATACTGCACCTCTCTAACTTTTATTCACAAAGGCATAGAAAGAAAAAAGATCCCGTCAAATGATAGCTTTTAAACAAAAATGACATCCTGTAGTTAACTAGCTCTAGGCTTTCTTTAACGTTTGTATATACAATTCCTCAGGGAATATCTGACAGTGGCTACAATTGTTCGCATGGAGCTAAACCAATACAACAGCGAGCTCTCGCAGCCCTGTGATCAAAAGCACCTGTCAGGTGGGTTTATAGCTGTCAGTGTCACATGTCCTTTTCCAGCCTTACAGAGCCAAAGATAGACTGGAGCCAACCAACTACAATTAGATGATTTTAACATGTCACCATTACTGTATGATGACGCTTGTGTGAACATCTAATGAGGTAATAGATTACTGTCATTTTCATGTTAAATTATACAGTCTATCTCTTTAATATTATTCATTGCAAATTTGGAGTGTGCCCTTCCAGGGGACAATGAAACAAATTGTGTCTTAACTGCTGCTGGATAGTTTAATCATTAATGAAACCACTTAAAGATTCATCTGATAAAACGGTCAGTCTCATGCACAATGACCTGTAATATTTATAACCCATTGTCTTCCATATTCAGTCACACTTATCACATCCTCAGTAATTTGCTAGCTAATTTGCAGTTGGGTCGAAAATGAGATACTATGCAAACGCATGCTGTGAAATTGCACTTTAATCCTTAATGATGATGGCCAAATTCATTTCTAAAAACAATAATCTGTCACATTTAAATTAGATGCAACGCAGAAATCACACTGCAAGAAGGCATTATATCAAACTCGGTGAGCAGGTGGATACCACTATGACAAATTCTGAAAAAAAGTATCACAGTTTTCACAAATATATTACGCAGCTCAACTGTTTTCAACAATTGATAATAATCAGAAATGCTTCTTGAGCACCAAATCAGCCTATCAGAATGGTTTCTGAAGGATCATGTGACACTCAAGACTGGAGTAATGATGCTGAAAATACAGCTTTACCATTGCAGGGATAAATTACATTAAAAAATATATTCAAATAGAAAATTGCCATGGCATTATTTGAATGATTTTTGCTTCCACTATGGTCTATCATTGCTGTATAATTTAGATAGCCTTGCCCATTCATAATTTGCAATTTGGGGCAGACTTTCTGTCATAGTCAAATGTCTGGCTACTCGAGACTACTGATGAAATATGAATATAATGAATATACCCCAGACAAATAGCACAAGGCCAACTATTTCTAGCATACTTGGAATGAAGCGGTTTTAATCATAGCCATCATCAACTTACCCTGCAAAGGGAGGACCTGGCCGGTCTGGACCATAATGCTGAGTTGCAGAACGAGCTGAGGTGCGCTCTTCAGGAAGGTTTCCAGCAACCTCAGCATGCTGATGTCAGCGTTCTCGAACATCGTACGCCAGTAGAAGTGTTTGTGCTCGTGGTCCCCACGCCAGCGGCTTTGCACACCCAGATATAAGGCATGGACATACCTGGGGTAAAAAACATAGGATAAGACCTCTAGCTACCTCATTTCTTAACAGATCACCAAAGATTGTATCAGAAAATAGTTATTATTTTAAAGGGCCCCATTTTATTTTATTTCATTTCATTTCATTTCATTTTGTTTTATTTTATCTTTCCTTCCCAGCAATCAATAGACGTCATTTCACAATCTAGGTTAACTATAGACCCGATATAGTCCAGCTACGAGTAACCCACTTGAATTTGGTTACATTTGATTTTTGCCAAGATAACTTCCATCATGTAAGCAAAGTAAACAGTGATTATAATGTGTTTGGTTTCATTTCTTCACTCATTTCATTTCTTTGTTGTCTAATTGATGACTAGTCTATTCTTGGGGTGTCTGGGCTGTGTTTGAATGGCTATTAGACGTCTTTTAAACTCAAAATTAAGCTGTTTGTGCATGTAAACTATATCTGCAAAGTTGCAAAGTAAAGCACAAAGTTCATGCTAAAAGTCCAATCATATAGATATACATGACTTACAGCTATTGTAAGTCCACAAGACTATAAGTTTCAGATGGGTGCTGGAAAGAGTTATGTCACAAAAGTGTGGAAGGTTGTGAGGGTTTGGCACTTGGTGTTTTTCAGCGCGAGGGCGGAACAACTTATCACACACATGAGATCACAGCAAAAGCAAACCACAATAATTTAACATGCAATCAATTCCCGACTTTCAAAATCCTGTTTCAAAAAGACATTTACGCCGCAATAGAGAAGAAAAATCGATCGCAACTTCCATTTCATACCAACTTTAAAAAAAAAGCTTTTAGGCCAAACGAAATGCTGCAGCAATGTACAGTTTTTTACTTTAAATCATGTAAATAAATTCTAGAAGACCCCGAAAATATAATGATGGACTTGTAAATGGGCACTTTAATGTATTTTGTATGATATAACCATTGTTAATTCCAACGTTACCTAAATTCCAGTCTGCAGACTTTGAAAAGAACTGGAGTCTGCCTATAATGTGACTGCAGCCAGCTGATAAAGGCAGTACACTTGTCTGGGCAGACTGCCAGTGCACTATAGAGTGCTCCAGCATGTCATTTTCTGTCCTCAGCACCTCGGTCTACAGGCTGTTGTGAGACACCAAGGTCGCTCTTCAGATTACACAGATGTCAGAGAGCATGTTTTCACAGGAGGGATCACTGTCTCTTATATCCGTACCTTTAAATTTCCTGATTTACGACCCCAGAACTCAAGTGTTAATCCTGTGAGATGAACATAAGTGTCACAGGAAGCATTCCTCTACGAAAGAGAGCACCTTTTGGGAGATATGAAGCAAAAACTGCAGCTGTGCGTATCGAAACATATTTATGTGAGTCCCTTGAAAAATCTGCCTTTCACTGACTGGACTTAATTTGTTTCTTTTGACAGGAAGTGCCATGATATTTCAGTCTGTCTCAAGGGTAGCGAGAGTAATAGGAGTGTTCGCAGGATGTCGGGAGATTGGCAGAATGAATCACCCTGACTTGATGAGGTCTATAAAATTGCTCCACATCCTTCACACAACTTGTTGTGCGAAGGGAGAAAAAAAAAAAGCCTCTAAAATAAAAATCAAGCAATAGAGAGCCTGGGAGAATGGCTGTCAGCGAGCGAGTCTCAAATTTGACAACAAACACAGTCTTTCTTTTTATGAATAAAGGGTGTGTTTTCAATGACACAGAAAAGTACTCTTCGCTTGTAAAATTCAGCCCTTTCATGCCCTGAAAATTCGGCACGCTAAATTCGGATGCTATCAGACAAAATCAAACCTTGAACCTTAACTATGCAACTGTTTTATTCTTTTCAAGAAAATTGAGAAAAGGTTAACAAACAGGCAGCTCTTCGGCTCAGAAAACATCTCACAAACAGCCACCATTGGCACGCAATGCAACAGTATCCATGGTGACGACTGACAAACATTGCAGCTGACAAGCTTGGCCCATTACTTAACTTAACCTAATTTGAAACAATCAGCTGTTAGGTCTGCGTTTCGCATAAAGACTCGGCATGTCTTCCTCTGAAAAGGACTTTCTATTAGAAAAGCCACTGATGTCCACTTGCCATTAAACTACTTCAAATTTAACAATATTCAGAACAGCCAACTTACTCGGTTACTCGGTTCCAGTAAGTCAGTTAAATACTGGATTTAACCCACAAAAGAAAGAAAGAGAGAGAGAAACAAAGAAAATCAATAGTGAATGTTCTATATCAGATTTCCAGCTGGCTAGAATCAGACTGTCATTATTTTTATTGAATAGTAAAGCCCTGCTGAGGTGGTTATGAGACACTGGATCATGTCATCATGCAACAGAATTAGGAAGATGGAAGTGCTTTCTAGCAGTGCTTGACTTCCTGCTGTCATATGGACATTTCTTTCTTTATTTGCCATGATTTTTTGCAATCTTTTTCTTTGCCCCTCCAGAACCTTGTGAAATTTTAATCATAAATAAACTGTGGTTTTGTAATGTAATGTAAACTGATATTTCCTACTGAGACACTACAACAAAATATATAAATAACTGGCTTTCTTTGAGGCGAAAATACTAGTGTGCCTAAGACTTCTGCACAGTACTGTATATAAAAATGACAGAAAATAAAGTAAAGACCTCTCCTGATCAATGTTTGAAGGCACTGTCATCTCCAGAAAATGTTTTTATGTTGAGTAGCTACACATTACCCTTCATATCAGACATACCTTCAAACAAGCAGTAAATCCCACTAAAACACACACTGCCTACAGCTTCCTGCAGTTTATCAAACATAACCACAGTTTAAGTTTTATTAGGTTCCTTTTCTCGTCACAGTTAATCCCAGTGCACCCTCTCTCAGGAATATGTCTCAAATAGGCATTAAGCTGTTTGGCCAACAGCAACAGACATCCCCTGGCTATCTCTGCTCTTGAATGTGTCCTCCTCAGTCCTCCTGGGCGGGGTTTTACTTTGATAGGGTGAATTAATCATGCAGGGCTGGCAAATTTTCTCATTGTCACAGATGAAACTCTTTAAAAAATGTGTGTTTTTAGCCTTCCTTCTAGCTGCCTAGCTTACACTTTTCTTCTGTTTGAGCCCCAGCTGAAAATGTCTCATGTATTTTTAGATCTTTTGAAAGAGAACAAGAATTTGAAGCACACTCTTGGAATGCTCAATAGGGCACCACATCTGAAGAAGGAAAATCTTCGATTCATTCAGTGTGTGCAATAATAATAATTAACCCCCAACCTGCCAGAAAGGATCCTGTCCAAACAGGATATTGACTTGCATTAGTAAATAAAGAAATTTAACAGTAAATAGAGTGAACAATCGGGGCATTTGTGGCCTAATGGTTTGAGAGTCGGACTTGTAACCTGAAGGTCGGCAGGAACGTACAGTATACTGGCAGGAAATGACTAAGGTGACCTTGAGCAAGGCACCCAACCAACCAACCCAAACGCTCCACGGGTGCCAAAGTTAATGGCTGTTTACTGCTCAGGGTGTGTGCCTACAGTTTGCAGTGTGTGTGTGTGTGTGTGTTAGGGTTAGGTTAAATGCAGTAGTAGATACTTGGCCTTCACGTCACTTCACTTCCCTTCACTTTAAATTCAATTATTGAACTTAATTTGAATCCTGATATTGATTTTTAAAATTCCAAGATTAAACTTAGCGTACGTTAAGACAACAATATACCAAAAAACGAAACAGTTTATTTTTTGCTTTTTTTTACGTACAGACGACACTATTGTCAAAATGATCTCGTTCAAATGGATCCCTGATAACAACCAAAACATTCTATTATGTTTTCAGGCCAGTAGTTGGTGACGTCACTTTTTACGAGGTGAACCAGGTCGCTAATTCGTTTTCACTTTTCACGAATTTACGAGGTGGCTAATTCGTAACAATTCATACGACCTCACTCGTACAAATTAGTACGATTTTGCTAAATCGTACATATTTTACGAATTGGCCAATTCGTATGAATTCGTACGAATGACCTACCCCTGACCCCGCCCTAAACCTAACTATCACGTGGGTTTAGACAAATCGTATGAATTCGTACGAGTGAGGTCGTACGAATTAGCCACTTTTTAATCACTCGTACGAATTGGTCGTGAGATAGGGTAGCTACACTCCTATAGACTGAACACATAATGCGCATGTGCATGACGACACCGTTTTCACAAATTCACATTTTTGTAGTTTAAAACAAAACAATAAGGGAATCATTTTCAAAAACTTGCACTTGAATCCCATTTTCAGGCCTCTGAAACGCTATTACTGTGTAAATTAACAGCCAAACAACATAAAAAAAAATCTGTTTTTAGTCGAAACTGCCTTTTAGGGGTGTGTAGTTGCGTAGTGTCGTGTAAACCCTTATTTTCCTTGTGTTTGCGGTCCTGTGCCAGTTCGTTGTCGTACATTCCTTATGTCCTCATCCCTGAAACACATTTCTCTGCATCTTTGAGTCCTCACCTCTCACCTCATCCTTCACCCCAACCTTGACTGAGCTTTGCCTAATCACAAAGTGCAAACAGAGAAGTCAACAAATGAGCATTGTGTTCCTATTTTATTAGTGAGCCAATAACATACAGTACAGTGAATGTAGTCCCATTCATGAATAGATGACTGTTAAGAGCCTATTCGTTTTAGTGAACCAAATACAGTATGAAGCAGTATAGTCCGACCGATTCACAAACAAATGACTCTGACGAGATGGTTATTTTAATGAATCATTCAGAAAGATGCAGGAGCTACCGGAGAATCAGCGCTTAACTGAATGAACATGTATCATTACTTTTTAAGTTAGGGCTGTCAAATGATTAATCGCAATCCAAAATAAAGGTTTTTGTTTACATAATATATATGGGTGCACTGCGTATAATTATTTTACATATATAAATACACACACATGCTTGTATATATTTAAGAAATATTTTCATGTATATACTGTATAGATTTATACATAATTTATATTATATATAAACATCAATATTTTATATATAAATAATATTTTTTCTTAATATTTTTTTATATACAAAATAATTATACACATTGCACCCACATACTGTATATTATGTAAATACAAACTTTTATTTTGAATGTGATTAATCACAATTAATCGTTTGTCACCAATTATACTCATACAATTTAGAGATTTTCTTAAATATTTAATATCGCATTATTTAAAATAAATAGTCATGTTTTATGTTTTAATAAAAACGGTCAAGATATTTGTTAAATTGCTTATATGAAACTTGTTCATTTTTAGGTTTAACAAACACTTCTGAAAAGACATTTATCTCAGCGCAGCCTGTGTAAAGGTGTCTTTTCTTCTCCTATGGTGAGGACTGATCCTGATTGATCCTGCTCATCTAATGCTGCAGGGAACATGGAATCGAAAACCATCTTTGAACGTGTTCAGTGAACCAGGTCAGAGTACTCAGAGGGGACCATCAAATAGGGCTCACTTTTTTACACAACGCTTTGAAAATGTGAGAGACAGAGAGAAAATGTATATTCTATTGCACATCATTAATTTCTGTGTAATTACAAGCCATGAGGAGAAATTGTTTTGGCTAATTTTCATATCAAGTTTTCTCATATTTCAATCATTCTCTCAAAGATGCACCTCAATTTTTGCATCTACTCTCCACCTATCACTCCTCGCCTGTTCTTTCTTTGCAACAGTGCACCTCTCTCTCCCTCTCTGGCTGTCTTCTGCAGGTAAGGACATGTAAACACTACAGCTATAATCCCTGTAATGCAGATATGTGACAAGATCAGTGCTGGTGGCAGCTTTAATGGCATTACTGCTAATTCCAATCAAACAAAGACAGAGCCTGGAAAGCTCCGCTCGGAAGCTTTTAAGCAAAGGCTCAGTCAGAGAGTATTGGTGAAGAACAAAAAGAAATCCATGTGGGTTTATAGGAGGTCAAACTGGCAAAAATGGCAAAACGTGCCTCTTAAAAGGTGCTATTCTTAGCAATACTGATAGAAAGCGACGACAAAAGATATTTCAATAGACACTAGCTTGCAGTGCCAATGATGTTTTTCTTTTCTGAAAATATTTTGAATGAATTATCCATTAATGGGAATGTAGCTCAGAAAGGCTTAGGCTAAAATTCTCAAGGCTAATTAGTGAATAATGGGATAATGGTTCGTTTTATTCAAATGAGATGAAAATTATTTGCTGGCTGGCTGACTGGCTTGTTTTGAATTACAAATATCCACATTCTCTTTCTGAAAACTGTTTATTATGCAAAATATGCTGTCAGAAAAAAGAGGAAGAGGAAGATCAGGAGGAAAAGAATGAGTGACAGACATAGAATTACACAGACGACAACAGTGTTGTGACAGCAGCATAAATGAAGCTTGACGGAAATGACCGGCAGCTTTGTGATATCAGTGGCAGCAAACATCATCAATAACCCTGCGTTTCCCTGTAGGTCAGCCGGCAGCAGTGTCCAGTCACACACACGCTCAGTCCTGTCACTGCTGATCAGCACAGGCATTGAAAGACAGGCACATCACCGCCGCCTCTGTGATTACAACCACAATTACACGGCACTCACTCACTACACATGCCTCTAATATGTGTGGGTGTGTTTCTATTGATTTATATGTGAGTGGATTAAACTTTTGGACGGGATTGTGGGCTGCAAATTTTCTTCTCTGCATTATTATGGAAATTGCTTTGTGTGTTGCAGCACACTGTCTGTCAGCAATTGCACATTCTCCTCATGGCAATCGCACTGAGCGAAAAGAGTGTTAGGAAGTGAAATCTAATGTCTAACTGTGTTTCTTGAGCTGATGGAATATCATCATCTTTGGACTCTAAAAAATCCTGGGTTGTTTCAACCCAAATTTGGGTCAAATATGGACAAACCCAAATGTTGGCTTCAACTTTCACATTTAACTGTAATTTTTTTAAAATTACATTTTTAACTCAACATTTGGGTTTGTCCATATTTGACCCAAATTTGGGTTGAAACAACCCAGCATTTTCTTTAGAGTGGCTGCAACGCATTCTCACCCCAAGGCGTCACCTTTGACCATGCTTCAATATTTGACGTTTTATGCGCCCTTTAGCGTCACTTACATGACGCGATCCTACGGCGTCAACTAACTGACGCTAAAGGAAAGCGTCAGTTAGAGGACGCGGTTAGGTTTAGGTGTGGGGGTAGGGTACACGCGATCCTAGGGCGTCATCTAACTGACGCTAAAGGGCGCCTAAAGCGTCAGATATTGAAGCATGTCCAAATGCTTCCCAAGGCGTCAGTTAAGTGACGCCTTGGGGGTGAGAATGGGCTGGTGTATGGCAACTTTTAGGTAAAATCGGCTGCATATAAACACTGCAGAATCCATCAAAAAATAACACTTCTCATTCATCATAAACCCCTGGCATTACATGAAAAAGAAAAGCAGAAAACTCTTTTGCACTGCTCTAAAGACAAAAGGATATTAGAGTGTGTGCATAAGGCGATTTCTGGTGAACAGATTGAGTGGATGAGTGGAGGAGTCTCTCCGGGAGATTATTGACCCAGAAGCTGATGAGAGGTGGAGGAGGAAGAGGAGGAGGAGCCTACAACCAAATGGCTTGGAGATAATGATGAACTGGCATGGAACAACAGGAAATACAAGGAGGATCCCTTTTCCTCACTATGACTGCAGGACATTCATTGGCAATGCAAACTAACAGCATTGAGGTTGAATCCTTAATAGTTCCTATTGTCTTTTCCACATTCCATTTATATTAGAGGCCACTGAAAATGTGTTTTATGTTTGGTCCCTTTATATCCAATCACGTGCTTTCAAAAGATTAAATCAATCCATATTAACTGCATAAAAGTTGTCCCTGATATTTTCTTTAAATGGGCCTGAATGACTGCTGGTGTGGAATTGTTGTAGAGAGGGCAAGTCAGGGGTACGTACAGTACAGGATGACAGAACAATATGATGCTGAATGAACTGCTGATGTGACACGTTAAAGGAATCTAGAATTTGCTTATGTTATGAGCTCACGTACCTCCAGACCTGTGCCAGCTGAAGAACGTGCACGAAGCTTTGGAAGAGCCACACGCAGGCTCTGCAGCAGCTCTGAGCGTTGCTCCGGGTTCCGGGGACCGCAGCGGAGCGGCCAGCGCCCCGCTGATCGCTGTCCTTGGTGCTGAAGTGGCTCTCAGCATTGGACGCCGCTACCAATGCCGCCGCAGCCGTGCCGCTCCCGTTGGCGTCCGAGTAATCGTAGGCGAACCATCGGAAGCTGAGCACCTGCACCACCACGGACGGAATGATGATAAATACGAGTGTCAGAGCGAACCACCAGTAGTCCCGTCTGAGATAGTATTCGGCAGCCAGCCACAGGTCTGAAGCCCCGTCCGAGAAAAAGACCAAGAGGGCGCAGAGGGTCCAGGAGCAGTCCAGGAGGGAATACTCCTTCCCGACGGGACGCAACTGTGGCGAGCGCTTCTCCGGTCCGGGGAGGCACGTCTGCGGAATGTCATTCTGCAAAGAAACGGCTGTACCGTCTGATTTCGCGGCCATGTTTGTTGTAGAAAAGAGAGTAGATGAAAAGGAGAGACGGGCGTGTGGGTGGGAGGGGGTCGTGTGTGTCTGTGTGGGAGGGAGAAAAGAGGGCTGGGACTGGGACGAAAACGCTTCTCGTCATTCCTGCTTGAACATCTAGCTCCTGTTTTTCCACATAAAAAAGCAATTTATCACGGCAGTCTATGCCAGTATCATGACATGACTGTAGGTGTGCACGCACGTGTTTAGTTTTTGTCCACACGTATATAATGTTTTATAGCTAGGATAGGATGAATAAAACAGCGATAGGTGGATGACATCCAGACGAAAGGTGCCTTTGCTGTCCTGATTCAGATTCAATGTCTCAAGCTGGATAAGTTTACGGAAATATATTAAGTTACAACATTATGTAACAGGCACAGAAATTATGTCAATGCTTTATAATGCGCTAAATGCAGCCTACACATCATATAGCCTACATTGAAACAAATTAGTTAAGTAGCGTCATGTAAGTTATTTAATTAACACTATTTTTATATTTTATATTATATTTACATAAAATATCCTAAATATGGGGTAGGACTGGTTTGATTATATGCAGCAAAAAAGGATATTATGAAATAAATAAATACACGTACATTAGACAAAGATATAGGCCTACTCTTCGGAGTCTCACTGCGTTGTAAACAGCGGCGCCTCGTGGGTATAGTAGCTAAATGAAGTCATAATCTTCCCTTGTAGTGCAAATGCAATCTTTTAAAACAGCTCCCACCACAGTAGCCTAAGTACATATTACCATACAAAACTCTGTTTAATAAAGCGAATAAAGACAGAACATTTAGAGTCAAGTCTCTGTAGATATTTGATTTTTGTAGATATTGATAATTATTTTAACCAAAAATGTACTACATTTGACTGCAATCGAGTTTTTTTAGCAAGATTTTCAGATGACATATCCAAATATAGGCTATCAATTTTATATTAACATATTTACTTATGACTCGGGGCATAACTCTACATTTGTCGTCTAAATTATAAAGGAAACCAATTATTGCTGACCCTCTGCTTCAATAGACTGAAACTTCAGATGTGTGCTAGTACTGCCACCTCCTGGAAATGAGGCCACTGATTGGAGTTTGGCTCGACTGTGTAGTAGCATGTAAGTAGTTGGGGCTTGCTCAGAACTAGCAAGCCCAAATTATGGAATAGTCTACAACTATCAATCAGAACAGTATTGTCATTTGCTACTTTCAAATTAAAGCTTAAAAACATTTGTGAATATAGATCCTGAATGCACTTCATTAACCTTCAATTGTATATAGCCTATGTAATGTATTATTTATTCTATTGCTTGTAATTGTATCGATACATTTTATTATATTGTATAAACCTTTTACAGATTAATCTGTCCTGTTCAGAACTTTGGTCAACCATGGGTTGTTTTTAAATGTGCTCTACAAATAAATAATAAATAAATGAATTAATGAATAAGCATGGTCACTTCCTGACAAATTGGGTAAAGTACAAATTCTACAAAGAAAAATTTAACTAGCTAGTTCATCTCTGGTACTGCCTGGTCTTAAAAGTGAGATGGTATGGCTTAGCCAAACAGGGATTTGACCTTAAACAGCATGAGAGGAAGAGGAAGATTGATATGTTGGTATATGAAATTTATCAAGACAGAGAGTTCAGGGGTGACCTCCGGTCTGTAGTCATGTCAGGGCAGACAGGACTTTTAGGGGCGACCTCCGTGGTCGTGTCAGGGCAGACACACCGTTCAGGGACGACATCTGTGGTTGTGTTAGGGCCGACACAGAGAGTTCAGGGACACCCTCCGTAGTTGTTTCAGAGCCGACAGATAGTTCAGGAAAGACCTCTGTAGTCATGTCAGAGCAAACAGAGAGTTAAATGCGGCCTCATTGGCCATGACAGAGCTAGCAGAGAGTTCAGGGACAGTTTCCTTGGCTGTTATCAGGCGAAGGGTTCAAGAGATGGAGACACCGCCGTCCCGGGAGGAACTGTAGATGTGCGTGCATCACAAACACATAAGATTGCCATTACAGGATGCGCAGACGATGGCGGTAGGACATCTGGGACCGACCACCGGACTTGAGACACGACAAGGAACAGAAGAAACACTGGGGTTTGATGGTGCGTTCACATGCTATGGTAATTATAGTAAATACCAAAAGCCGGTGTGGAAAATGCACATGAACACCCCAATGTTGTATTTTCCACTGGGCAGCTCGTAGAATATTTTGATGCACGAGTTGCTGAGAATGGGATAACCTTTGACCTTTTCAAAATGGCGGAGAGCAACACGAGAGTCGTGAATGGTAACAATATGTTCACGATCTAGAAAATATACAGCATATTATTTACCATTTGAGTTTTGATAAATCATCTTCTTGCTGTACCAGATGACTTAAGCAATCTAAAATAGTTTTAGCTAAATAACAGGTCTGGATCTCCATCTTTTTACCACATTACGACAACAAAAGCACTTGAACGCAACGCAACACACTGGTAAATACCAGTTCACAAGTGGAAAATATCATATTTTCCATAGGACATGAACACACCATTAATACACAAGGGGTTCTAGGCAAACAAGACAGACCTGGGAATAAATCACAGACATAGTTAGCAAGAACTACAAAGGACTACAAAACATGGCATGGCACAGGAAATAACATAAAAGTCCATGGGACCAGAGGAAACATTTTTGTGCGTGTATGTGTGTGTTTGTGAGAGTATTCGTGCGTGTGTTAGTTGGGAAAGAAAGGGTAAGGAATTCAGAATCAGATCATAAACCTGTTATCTGATCCACACTCCGGAGCAGAAGGTGGCAGTAAACCAATAAGCTGAATGCCAACCGCCGCAAAACAAAAAAGAAGACGATGACCTCCAGGGAAGTGATTTCCCCCGAATCCTTAAACCTAACCGTCTTTGTAACCTTAACCAATGAAATTAGCTGCAGGGCAGGATTTCGACTGAAATGATTTGGGGGGGAAATCATTCTCCAGGGGAACACAGGCCAGGATCATGGCAATAGTAAAGTGATTTTCAATCATCATTGACAGACGAAGATATGGACAAAACACATTCTTAATTTAGGGTCTTCAGGCAGCCTTGTTTACAAAAATGAAATGTCCTCAATCATTTCAATGACTACCAAGTCAGAAATTATTAATATGGTTAGTGAAAAAGAAAATGACAACTAAAAACTTATTTGTGGGTTTTAATTCTTCCTAATAAGATCTAATTGTTGTTTACTAATAAATACTTGAACAGAAATTGTATTTATATTTTTATTCAGAGATATTTGTATAATATATAATAAATATTACACTTTATTATTATATGACACATTTTCATTTATGTATTTGGCAGACACTTTTATCCGAGGAGACTTACATTGTATTTAAAGTATTTTATTGTTTCATTCATGCAGTCCCTTTTTATCAAACCAATTGGCACAAAAAGAATAAGACAATGCGTTCTTCTACACTTTCTAAAATGCAACATGCATTATTCAGTCACTCTCTACACAACTTATTTCCTCACCTAACCAATCTGTATAAGAAGAACAGAAGTTAATTTATCCACTCTTCATTATTTGCGTCCCTACAGCCAAGAATATAATTAAAATAGTTTAAAAGCTGTGACAGGATGAAACATGGCATAAGGAGCGTGTATCAAGCATTAGAAGACCATCTGGTTGGCACTTCACACCACACAGACAAAAACAGATGTTTCTAAGATCCTTCGCAACAGCGTGTTCCTTGAAAGCTGGCCAAGATCAAGAAAACATCCTCTCAATCCCACCACGGAACAAACGGATGAAACTCAGAAATCAACAGTTTCTTTTTTGGGGGGAAAGATTATTGTCTTTGTTAGCACCAACCTGTCATTCTGAATCACTGTCAAACCATTTAGTTGAAAATAAATACTTAAAGGCTCGTCATTATATACAGGAATTTACTTTGTCATCAGTACTGTATCTCAGTCATTAAATGTCAATTTATTTAAATAACGTTACTGTATTCTTTTAAGTATCTAATATATATATAAATATATATATATATTATTGTACAAATGTGAGGTTTGTTTTCTAATATGTTTTTGCTCAACAAGGCTGTATTTAATTAAAAACAGGGCAGTAAAAGCATATTGTGAAATATTATTATTTTCTTAAAAAAAACTATTTATGTTTATATTATATATATTTAAATTCCATATGATGGCAAAATATTTTTTTCTAAACACTTGTCAATGTAGAAAACATACTTAATGTATTTGTGGAAAATGTTACTCTTTTTTTTCAGGATTCTCTGATGAATAGCTAAGTCAAGACATCTTCATTTATATAGCGCTTTTAACATATACAGATTGTTCCAAAGTGGCTTTACAGTGATTAATTTTAAATTATAAATTTATAGAGTTTTAGTTTAGTTCTAAGAACAGAAAGTTCAAAAGAATAGTATATATATATATATATACATTTTTAAACAGCTGTTAAAAGAATAAATCAACAAATATTTGGCATATCCAATAAACCAGTTTCAACCAAAAGCAGTGCACTTAGAAAATAAAATACCAATTACATCATAATTCAAATAAAAAAATTTAATAATTTATTTGTTATAAATAACATAATTAATTGGCTATTTATATAAGGGCTACAATAAACCGTGTAAAAAATTATAAGACTCAAAAAGCAGGGGAAAAGGCCCTTTTTTGT